GACATTACAATCTCATTTTGGGCTGTTTTCGCTGCCGATATTCATAATTAATCCAAAAATGCTTGCCACTAAAAGTCTCCTTCTCTAAAAAAAAAAAAACGATAAAAACACCTGCAGTGAGAATGTAGAAATTGAAGGTTTGACATCGCATTGGGAAATTAAATGGACATGTAAGATATGCGAGATGTTAACAACCCTCCGACCAGCTTTTACCATTTGAAATATCAGATTAGTTCCACATTGGTGGGAAATTAAAAATGAAAATTAAAGCAGAAATTTAGAAACGGCCATGATTTCCTTGGAAGACAAAAATATGATCGCTGCCAGAAATTCAAATGACTCGTGCAGGTAGTTTTCATTGGGGCATTAACGAAAAAGTAAACAAAACTATTTGGATTTTCCAAGAGGCTTTGCAACATTTCAAACTTTTCAGGATCAAAATAAAACGAAATGGAAATTATTCTATCAACCATAAGCCGAGGAACTATTCAATACATAGAAGAGAATGCTATCGTTGAAATGGTTTATATTTTAGGGAGATTTTCGTTTTCATGCATCATAATTCCGTGAGCTAGCTGTTGCCCTATTTTTTACACTACAGAAACTGACATGTAGTACAGAATCACTTTCCTGTCCTTTTTAAGCAATGTTAGTAAGTATATCTTCGATAGCTAGTTATTAAAAGCTTTTAGTTTGGATTTCAGTTGTGTCGATAGCTCTTTTGGTAGAAAAACAGTCGCTGAATATCCTTGAAATGAGAAATCAACTTAAAAGGCAGCATTACATTTAATATTCTTGCTCCTTGTACTAAGGGAAAATAAAAAAGGTTGGAATTGGAAGTCTATTTGGTAGACCTATATAGTTTACAAGGAAAGCGATGATTTAACGAAAACACTTTTGACTTGTCTCCAGCCGGCACGAAACTGTACTGAACCAAAGAGTTTTTCCTGTAGCCCAACGTTAAAAAGAAATACACATTTCAGTCTCGCAGGAGCTCTTTAGTCGCTATTAACAATGAGTACATGAGCCTGTTTGGAAAATGGAGACAAACAGAGGAGAGCGAGCCTTGGAACAGTTAAATTTCCAAATTTTTTAGACTATTTCGAAAGAAGAACGCGTTTTAAATCTTTGTGTACTTCTATTGAAATGCAATTTTAAGCGACAGAGGAAGACCTTGCTCGCTCTCATTGAGAAGGAAAAGCTCTAGCGAAATTAGATCTCTGAAATAATCACTGCCGACTCACATACCTAGGACCATCATTTTGTTTTTCTTTGGCTTCAGTATAGTGTTTAACCCAAAGAAATGCACGAGGTGAAATGTACCCAAGATACTACAAACGACCTAGCTTCGACAACAGTTTTTCTGAAAGCAACATTTTCCTCTTTGCGATATAAACTCGTCATTCATGTCACTCAGCTCGGTTTGGTGTGTAAATTAAAACCCACAGTCTCACAGTTAACATAGGAAAAAAGGCGGTTCGTTTCACCGTACAATAGATGGATTCTGAAAACCAACACAACTATTGACTGTTGGGGCTGGAAAAAACTGTAATTTCATCGCGAATAAAACAACTGGACACAAAAATGGTGAAAGCATATTTACTCATTGAATTTAGATAAGAAAAATGTCGCCTTTTGTTTGTTTTACTTCATAACAGTGTTTCGAATCCGTTTTATTTTAGTCTGGGTGAAAACTGACGCTTTATATCACCTACTCAGGTTCAAATGTTTTGAAAATGTTTTTCAACAACATCCATGTATTCCTGTTGTCATTCAACGAGTTTCGATAGCACCGCCAAGCAACTGAACTGATATCACATCTGAAGATTTATATTAACAAATGCAATTTAAACTTGCCTGAAAATCCATTCTTTTTAAATTGTCCTGTGGTTAAATAAAGCTTTTAATGTCCCGTAAATTCAAACATGAGGATCGCATGAGCTTAATTAATTCAATGGGAACCTTATTCACTGTGTACCCGCGTAATTCGATTAGGTATATAGCGGCGTTTACTGAAAAAAACAACCGCAGTTGAATAGAAGAACTGCGTGAATAGACTCAGTTTTCATCAGATAACGTGCAAAAATGACAGTCATCAAAAAACTATAGTTACTTCTTCTTTGAAGCCAAGCGTGGGTCGCTCAGCTGAGAACAAAAAAGTCTCCGGAGTGCCTTTGTTTGGTTTTTTGTCATAGCGGGTAGCCTTTTGCTTTTTCTTTTTCACAGTTAATAATTCGGAGCCCTATAATTTCGTCGACTCGATCAATCAGTTCGTTAAACTACATAATCCCTTCAGCAGTCCGAATTTGAATTAAAAGATACTACATTTCACACCTTGGGAGCGCTTAAATCCTCTAAGGATACACTGCCACCGCTGAGAAGCACACAGAGAAAAAAACAGCTTTCAATTAAATGTTTATGTTTATTGTGGCCTTCGAACGTCTTTTCTTTTTTTTTTTCAGGCAGGTTTTGAATTATTTTAGATTTATCTTAATTTTTCTGTTGAACGCAAAGGACACCTGAAGTGTGGTGGTTTGTACTGAGGCAAGCTCTTTATGGTTGAGTGATCCGTACATCCACACCCCTTCAATTCTCTTCCTCTGCGAATCCAGATGTTCGTTTTCCCAGGGAAGAGAGAGAGCACCGTGCGGTTTGCCGTGGAAAGTATTGTTTGAAAGCTAAATGAAATTTTACGTCAGTTTTCCGTTCTGCCGAACCTTTTGAAATTGTGCTAACTGTAAGTGCGAAGATTGACAAGATTTGGTAAACAGATTGCTTTAGAACACTACTCGCCTTAGATATTACGCACGAAGTTTATCGGCAAGGTTAGAATATGGCGGCTTGAATCTTATACGCTAACGAATTTTTCGACAGTACTAGCGAACCCTCGTTAGCTTATTAGTATTATGTATTATCCAGAATGTTCATGGTTCTGTTCATTGAAAGATCTGACTACCGTCACAGTATGCTTGGCATACAATGTTTGTACAACCCATCCATAGAAAATTACTTATGGTGAAAAATAAAGGAAAGCATTTTGCCTGACATATCCACAAAACTATGACAACATTACAGGACAATTCTTAGAGAGTTAGGAAGCTTGCGCGGTTCTGAAATACCGCGATGTGTTACCAAATGATTGGAGCAGGGAAGATCCTTATGTCGCTTTCAGAAGAGGGCTTATTTAACTAAATCAATTTCACCGACTATTTTCCTATAAATATTTTCTCTTAATCTCTTAAAAAAGGATTATAATGTGCCTAAAAGAAAAACCGGGGATAAACTCAAATTACAGAAGCATATTCAGCGATCAAAAAGCGCAGTGGTGTAATATTTTGATCCAGCATGCTGTCTTATTTACACAAAAACAGCTTGATCACATTTTTGTTCTGTTTATAATGATAATATAATAAGGTTAAACTCTTTATTCAGCTGAAAGAAAACAACCTCAGAATGAGCACATAGCTTCTTTAACATAAATTGTTAATTATGTCTTCCTGTTGTCAAACCTAATATTACAGCAGTCGTTTGAACATTACCCCCGGATGTCTAAGCCGTCAATTGCGACCCGAAGCGTGTTTCTCTGTTTGACATTGCGCACCCATATAACAGGAAAAAAGTGAAAGCAGTGTTAAGAGACCACTAGAAGCCGTCTATTAAATTCCTAATACAAACAGGGTAATATTACAAAACGCCACAAGACTGCGTACAGAATGCGAGTCGTTAAAAAAATGCGCTAATCTGCGCGTTCTTCTAAAACTGCTTTAAGGATCACTTAGCGAGTTTATTAATATGCAATTTGTTTCTTCGAAGATGTTGAAGGGGTAAAGATAGCGCTAACTTAACCACTTGGTATTATTTACGCCTAGAGATTAAAAACAAAGAGAATGTTTACGCCCATTGATTTAATCGCTGTGACAGCTGCTGACCGAACCACAAGTCGGAGTTATTGAATCACTCTTTGCTAAAATGCGCTCTTAACAAATTGCACGAATATAGTAAGCCCCGGCTGGCAGAGCTTCTCACGTCTTCCCATTTTATACCTCAAACGTTTGCTCTGACGCATTTTATTGCTGACATAAAAACTATTTGTAAGTGATCCAGAGCACTGTTGAATTTGTAAACTTAAACAAAGTTTAAATGTGTGGCGATGATTCTGTTGTCACGCAAATGGATGATATGTACTAAAAATTCTGTCCTTCCAACGGAATTGGTCTCAGCTCAGTGCAGCAATAGTAGACTTTTAATCAATTTCCCAAGAAAAATATAACGCTAGGATGGATTCAACAACCGTTTCATGCATTTCAGTGGCGCAGAAATATGTTTCTTTTTGATCCAAAACACCAAGAAATATCTGAAAAAATTACCGAGTTCGAAAACAAACTAGCTAATCTAAAGTAACCTACTAATCAAAAGAGTTAAAAAAGGATTAATGGGGACATTTCATGAGCAAATTTTCTTCACCCTCTCATTCATTTTCAGTAGGTTGTTTATGTCCCTAATCGATAAAAAAACGTTTGATTTACTGCGCTGCGGAAGGTGGTAAATAAATACTTTTTTAATTTTTTTGATTTACTCCGTGGTCACGACATATTTATTTTCTTTGAACAAGCTTTAAAAAGAAAATGAATTCTTATGGATCAAATCAGAGCGATAGTGTGAAAATGAAAATTAACTAACAAACCCTTGCATTTCTTCTATGTATTTAAATGTTAATTTTCCACTGTAGAAAAAACTGTTTGCAAAATGACTTCCGGGCACTTTGCGTACGCTGCCCCATTTCAAAATTGGCAAATAAACGTTATTATGTCTTTGTTTATCCTAAAAATCCGAGACGATTGCCCGCAGATAGAAAAGCCATAGAAATCTAATATTGGTAAAACCCCATTTCCTTCCTCGGGGGTCGTTCACAGGGCTAATTAATTATTTTAATCCGGCCTTTGATAATGTTCATCAAAGCAATTTAAGGTAAAATTCACGTGATCATATGTGGACATCTCTTAAAGACAGAACCACTCTCCCATTTCGACTCATTTACCGCAAGACTGGCGCCGGTCGACAACATGCAGGGAGGAAAGACGTCCGCTTTCACAGTAGAATCACTCATTTCCAAGGAAAGCTTCGCCGAAACGAGAAGTGATGACACTCATGGATGTATGACACTGCCGAGGTGCTCCTCAGGAGATGATATCGCTCGAAGTTCGCCTAGTTTTAGCGGCGCCATAAACATACCTCGGCCATTAGCCTTGGAAGGTGCTGGCGCGGGCCACACGAGCGCCTTTTCGCAAACCTCTCAGCTCTCTCTATCAACTGGAAGATCTTTTAACATTCAACGTAACTCGGAACATCACCCAGGTAAAGTTGCTGAATTGAAAACGTGTTATAAGTTAGAAAGTGCAAATTTAATCTGGTTTCCTTTAAGGAGCCGCTACTTTATAGTGTTTAAGCGTTCCAACCCACCCTTTGATGTGATCGTCAATAAGTTAAAGAGAAAATAAATTTAGTTAACGCGCATATCACTAAAAATTGGTTTGAATTGTTTTTTGGTCAAACATGATATAAATGAAAATTTCTAACAGAAATTTGTCAGCGGTTGATCGAATATCACGAAATTTATTTCTTCTTTCCTGTCTCATTTTCTTTTCGCCAGTAAATTGGTTTTGGATTACAAGATTATTTTCTTGTATATGGTTGCGCAATCCGCTAAGCAGCGTGTGTTCAGTTCTAGTGAATTTGCGAAATATGTTATCATGTATGATTCATTTGATGGTGGCTCAACATTAGCGAAAGTTTGACAGAGATTTTCACGAGGACCGAGGAATTAACAGGAACTTGTTTGCTTTGTCTTCCGGACTCTTAACACAACAAAAATGAAACACAAAGACGCACAGCAAATGGAAGATGAAAATAGAAAACAAGTAAGAGGTGACATGCAGAGAAAACTGCTCACTTCAATCAGTGATGTGATTTCAGTACCAATTGTTTTTTATCAGTTTTCATCACAAAAGATTTTTCGTCGACTTTTGCTATCTGCTCTCTATTTACTAGTTCCTAATTTTCCCAATCTTTTACTTAACCGATGCTATCTTTTGGAGTAGAAAGCATGCAGAGGAAAGATCGATTTTTGTCAAGATTTGTTTATCGTGCACTTTACTTCTTATTTAATTCAACACTGTGTGAAATACTTCAGGTTTGGTTGTGAGAGAACTTCAATTTTTTTGACCAAATTTTTGTTTAAATATTGTTTCAAAACAACAAAGGATTCCTCAATGAACAATGGGCTAACAATGATGTAAGTCGCTTCCATAGAGATCATTGGTCTCAACTTCTTTCGAAGCTGCCATTTAGTACAAAGGGGTGCTGTGGTGATTGCTTATATCAATACAACAGAGTTAAATTTCAAGACAGTTTGTTCTATATCCATGTTTTTAATTTTGTTTTAATTTTTTTTTTCTCAGTAAGAGAAAACAAAACGAGGAAAGTTGAATATAGGCCCTAAAATCCTCCCTAATTTCCAGATTCCTCTGTTGTGGATATGGCCCAGATCTAACATATTCAGTGGTCTTTATGTTTTCATAGACGCACAACGCCATGATGACGCGACAAGGACTCGTCGCTACAGGACGGCTTTCACTCGGGAGCAGCTTAGCAGACTTGAAAAGGAATTCCTCCGAGAAAACTACGTGTCTCGCACGCGGAGGAGTGAGCTTGCATCTTCCCTCAACTTATCAGAAACAACCATCAAAATATGGTTCCAGAATCGGCGAATGAAATCAAAAAGGCGACGCATGGCATTGGGGCTGAAACCTGTTCAAGCCTTTTGTCCGACCAGACACTTACCTTCTGATGGACATCTCAGTTCGGGCCATCTGTATAATGGTCTTCATTATGTACCTTGGTCGCCATATTCTCCCGTCAGTGGTCCCTTGTGGCCCCACGGAGTTCACTTCTTGCACTGTGATCCACATTATCACCCGTTTTCAGTCCCCTCTCCAAGCACCAGCACTGGATCAAGCTACAGACCATCGACGACGCAGGCTAACTGTTCATATGTTTGGAAAACTAACGAATAGACGACTAAGAAAAGAACTTATGCTGTAAATATCGTGATCAGTAATCAGAAATGGATCAAACGTTTTATTAAATGAAAGTCGAACTCTTTCCTATTAGCTCGGGGAACTACTAGGTCATACTTAATCGAATCACTGTATTTATGATGGAGAGGTAAATTATCTAAGCATTACATGTTTGATGTCATTTTAAATCAGCAGAGCATCGTGTAAAAACAAATGATTTTCTAAGATTAAAAAGATCACTTCCTCTCGCAGAATGCAACTTAGTAGACAATATGAATCAGCGTTCATTTTTTGGAATTACTTTCAAGCGCTCCCTATTCTTTTACTAATAAGTTTTTCCTGATTGATTTAGTTATTTATTTTTCCTAAAACAAGTTTTTGTAGACAAAGTCTCGAGAATGCTTGGAATAAATCCCAAGTCCCTTTCATGGAAATTGGTATCATAACACAAAAGTTTATAACCTTCGATTCAGAGCAAACTTATTTGTTTTTATTCTCTCGTCTTTTTATTTTATTTTAACCTCGATGAATCACCTCAAGACAAGTCCAGTTTTATTTAGGAAAGCAATTATCATCAGTGGATGACCATGAAGGAAGGACGTTTGATTTGGAGACTTGCAAAACCAACATGAGTGCCTGCAACGACGTTAACAAACGCCATTTTGGCAGGAAAATGTCATGCGGCCAGTTTCCAACGACTTGTCTAAAATTTATTGTTATTAGTGGGTAAAACATCCGAGGAAACTTCATTGAGAATCTGAGCTTCGGAAATCGCTAAAATTTGTAGGTCAAACCTTACTTTTTTAGTTGATACTTCGGTTCAGTTCGACATGATGTCACAAGGATCATTGAATTGTATATGGGATTAAACCAAAGGATTAAACATGAAGTGTGGCCCTCGTTTAACTGCCTAAAAATTCATGCCAAAAAGTTTAACTTGCTATACGTACTCTGTTTTCGAGCAAAATTTGCCTTAAAATCTGTCTCATCAGGTTTCTGTAAAACTTAACATATTTCTGCGCGTTTGATGCAGGTGTGAGTGTTTACGTATCCACTGCATCTGTTTTCAGCGTTACATATCTTTCATAATAACTGTAGCTTTCACATTGGGTTCTTGAATCCTGTTTTGGCTGCACGTTTTTTGTCGAATCCTGCACAAATGTCAAGTCTCACTGAACTTTCTTCAGGTTTTATTAGAACTAAGAATTATTCATATTAAAACAAAAGAATGAAAAACACTAGCCTTACAACAGGTTTATTATCATCTATTTCGTATTACATTTCAGCCTTGGCAAGGTTACTTCAAACGCAACAAAATTGGACTCCATCTATTTTAACATGTACATCGCCATGCACGATCCCCTACATTTTTTGATCTGATGAAAAGACACAAGGCAAACATAGAGATCCTATCGGTTACTTTTCGTTGTTCAAAATGTCATCATAAAATCTGACTGCAAATGAAAAGATTAAAAAATGCACGCACATCTTCGAGCCTTCGTCAGTCTCAACAGAGATCAGTTTACGTTTCCCAGTACAAGTTTGATTTGAGCTCATCATGCTTCTTGCCAGAGGATGAGCAGCATGTTTTTCCCTAATTAATTTAAATGATATGAGAAATCGAATTCGAACTCAGAACTTAGATGTGGACATCTTATAATGAATTATTACGAGTCATAAATGAAATCTATCAATAAATAATTCATCTGTTAGTATGCAATAAAAATTGTTATGAATGCTAGGATGTCCGGAAATGTATTCGATGGTCTATCACGAGTTTAAATCTACTTTTGCGCTTCATGAAGAAGTACTTTGATTTATTTCTCACTAAGTTGCTTTCCACCATGCCGCAAAGTAGGTAGTAAATATTGAAAAGAAACATAATCGGATCTTTCTTATTCTTCGAAAATTCGGAAAAAAACCGCGTCACGGCACCAAATTCTTTCAAAACAAGGATTTTGATCTACATAGGTAGATAACCAGTGATACAGCCTCGACCTACGTAAAATTTTAAAAGATATTTATAGTGTTGGGAGAATAAAACGTTTATGCAACACCTTAGAAAGCTGACGGATGATTAAATATATTTTTATTTTTTTAACGGCGGATCACCGGCTTCTTTGCCAGCAGGGAGAATTTAAATAAACTTTCCAAGGAAAAGGAAATCGTGCTTAACGACAAACCAGCCTTCCGTAAAATTGTCATGTTGAGCTGGATTTTGACGGGCAATTAGGACGAACAAATTTGCGTAATTCTTAATAAACCACCGCTGTCGAAAGCGGCACTGTTATTTAAGAGCTATTACGCATGCGTTGTTTAGGTTCCAATAGGTAATGATCCCCTATTAGTGTCCTCGAGTCCACCTCATAAGAAGAACTCCTGTTTGCTCGCGCCTCGATTACCGGTTGAGAATAGCCATATCTGGTCATTAAAAATCATTAACAACGGTAATAATTCGCCCATACGTGTAGGCAGATCTAAGCTTGAATGCATTTTGATTTATAGTTTTGCGCACTTGGATGATTCGGAGATGAAATTTCTCTTTCGTTAACGCCTTTGTTTTTAGTTATTTTCAACAAAATGTTCAATCAGTTCTATTATTTCAACTGAGCTCTTTTAAAATGAAATATGAAATAGGATCAGAATGTGGCTAAATATGGCTCTTTCTTGTAGACCACACTGAAAATAATTTGGCGTTGGAGACGGACGGGTGATTATTATTGCAAAAAAAAACCCTGACGAGCGAATAATCCTTAATTTTGTAAAATAAATGAAATTGTTTCGTGGGCAGCGTTTCTCTTTCCTGTTTGAATTTTCTTGATAAAAGGTTGATTAAAATCCAAACAATAATTCGGTCTCCGGACCGTTTAAATTTGAAAATTAATTCTCTTTTTGAGACATTTATTTTTTTAATAATACCTTCTATTCATTTTTATATTTCCTTTCCCAAAATGACTGTAAAATATGTTGATAGTGCTTTTTGGTCAATAAAGATGGCGAGGGAAAATCTTCTCTCATATAAGTCTTCATTGCACCCGATATCGTGAAGACTTTTTTATTAGTCCAGAAGTTTGTGTTCATGTCAGAGACCGCCTGTCATAGCAATCTTGTCTGTTCAGAGACGTTTTTTTAAGGGGCTATCGTGAAATAAAACGGGAATTGAGTAAAATTACATCAGAGGTTTCAATAAATGCCGGTTACCGACGATGCACCCCCGTCTGTTTAGCTTGCGAGCAGGCTCTCGTGTTTAGGTTTCGCCTTACGCCACATGCGCCTATTACACTATCGTCGGCTGCCTATGAAAACGTTGTTCAAACCCCTGCTCAAGTAAAAGAATAATGTAAAGAGTTGCATTCACCGACAGCTGTGGGGTCGCTAAATAGCTTTCCGATTGAATATTCAAAATCAAAACCGAGTAAAACGAACAATCACAAGTAAAAGTAAATTTCTCCGGGAGCCAGTGAGACCTGAAGTGTATAAAAGTAAAAGTGCGCAAGCGCAGGAAATTTCAAGTGACCAGGTCGCTCTGGATTTCAGTTTTGGATGTGATTGGTTGAAGAGATGGCACGAGTCAATCAAACCAATCATAGGGTGTGGGAAGGGGGAGGGGGGGGGATGTCGAAGCTAATACAAACACTGATTACTTTAAACAGAACAATACTGTAAAACGCAGTTCTTCTCAATTGAAAATGGTCACCCCAGAACCAGGCACGTCAAAAGATGTTATAAGCCTTCAAACCAAAGTTTAAACGACCTGAACCTCTTTACCTATTCTGTCGTGATCCCCAGCAGGTTGCCTGTCTTAAGCGTGGGGTCTTTCTCAGTTTTATTAAAACCGATGGCCATAGTCTATGTTATCTCACTGGAAAAATCAATTGAAAATATTCCCAATAAACTCCAGTGTACCTTAAGTGGGTGGCGTTCTGTCTGATGGTACGCATTGATGTATGCGCAGCCTCTTTCAGACATCAGTATTCTCTTCTTTGCTAATTTTCAACATCTGATAAATCTGCTAATTACACTTTACTCACAAGGTTACTCGTTAACACACCTTATTTTACTCCCAAAATGTACCTCAACAAAAGCTCGAAACTTCAAAAGCGAACTCGACTATCAAAAAACAAAGAATCTTCGATCGTTTCAAAATAAAGCAACCCAGGGTGGTGGCAAAGGCGAGTATAAGGGCAAGGACGCCCAAATCTATTATTCATTTAATTTCAATTTCATTTAAATTCAATTCTCACGAGGAAAGTCTTGCGCGTGAGGTAAACACCTACTATTTACGAGTACACATCTTCATGTGCTCTACGGAGCACATCGAAATCGGTCTGAACTGGCCGAAATTGAACCGAACTACTCGCCTTCGGTGGAAATTGTCTGGAAGCAAACGGAGCAATTTGCAAAAGGATAGCTACTGGTTCGAAGTTGAACAGAACTGTGTTTTACTGAGGGAGTCGTCAACAAATCCTTTAAATTATTGTGAGTGACTCCTTGAGATAAAATATTATTTAACTGAGAGAACTATTCGTATAACAACCCAATTTTCCGCGTTCTCTTCCATGTTTTTATTACTATTTTATTTCTGATGATAATGTAGTGGTAGATCAAACAATATCCCTTCATAAAGTTCATATTTTTCTTTCCTTTTTGCTTGGAAATGTGTCATACTATGAAGATGAATCAGTTCTGTTTGGTTACCCCTTAGTGTGAAAAGGTAATGACTACGCTGAACGAAATTTCAGGCTCATACCGTGGAGGTTAACCGTTGATATCATTGTCCGCGGACTATATCATTTAACGAATAGGACAAGAGATATAAGTAATCATTTTCAAACAAGAGGCAACACTTTTTTTGTGCTTAAGTGAAAGCAAACTTACTCTGGAAGAGGAAACATTACAGCAGACAAATAATTGTATGATGTCTTTCAGCTCTCTTTCTGTATCATTTTTAGTAAAGATGCACGTGCGCTGCGTGTAGCTTAATCACGAATCACCAT